TTACATGAGGTGGGGGTAGAGCTTTCCTACCTGGGAAGAGCACTGGGAATGTCCACTGGGGACCAAGGCTTGTGTGCCTGAACCCAAGAGAGCGGTTTACCAACAAGTCAAGAGTTAGCGGGGCGGAGAGCCCAGCGCACACCGCTCTGCTGCAGCCTTCTCCTCTCCCAGGCTGCTGACTCCCCGTCCCCCAGCATGACACCCAAGGAGCTAAGAAGTCAGGTGGAGGCTTCCAAATAAGTCCCCAATCTCAAACCATGGCGGAGGAGCCAGGGACAGGTAGAGAGGGGTAACTCCATCAGCGAACCTCCATCCGCCCCCAACATCGTCCAGCCTCTCCCCGTTTCCCGCTCAGTGTCCCCAATAGGCCCCAGTCGGGGCAACCAGGCCCGGAGAGGGAGGCTGTGAGGTGCAGGAGAGCTAACGGAAGAACGCGACAGAGAGGAGGGCAGGAAGACGGGACGGCGCCCCCTGCCCTCCCGGCTCGACTTACCGCCGGGGTCGTGGGCCGCCGCCTGGGGCCGAGACCAGGCGGAGGGAGCGCTCAGCACCGAGAAAGGCCGAGGCGGCCTGCGAGGCTGGCACAGCCCCGGGCGGTTGCGGGCTCCGGAGGCGCCCCTTCAAGCCGTGGAGCCAGGAGACTCCGTTGACGGAGGCAGCGGCCTCTGGCTGCGGACGTGGCGCCGGATGCGACCCGCCCCCTCCACCGCCTCCTCAGCTCCCGCCTCCTCCCGCAGCTTGGGCTCCGACGCGCACGCGCACTGCGGGCCTCTCCCGCGCCCACCCGTTTCTCGAACGGCCCAGCCCTCCCAGCAGCCCCCAGTCCGCCGCCTCCCGACGTGCGCACGCGCGACGTCCGGAGGCCTGCGCCCGCCCCCTAGCCCCCTGGGCGCCTCCGCGGGAGCCCCGGGCCGACTCGCGCGCGCGCCTCCTCCAATCAGATCGGGCGAGGGGCGCGCAGCGCCGGGAGCACGCAGGCAGCGGCCCTACGGCCCCAAGCACGAGCGCCGGCGGCTACCCGAAGCCGTCGTTCCGCCGCGATAACGGTCGCTCGGAATTCAGAACCTTCGCCCTAGGAAAGGTGGGACAATCGCCAATTTCCTTGGCTCTTTCTTCGCCCTGGGGTGTCAACCTTCTTCCCTTACCTGCTTCCCCTGGGAGGAGTGACAAGCTGGGCCTTCTTTCTGCCCATCACTTTGGCGCTGTTTACACGCCTTTATTGTCCACGTGACGTGTGATGAGAGAGACATTGGTCTCTTTATTATTATTATTATTAATTTTCCCTGCCCTTGAATTGAACTTTTTGAGATTAAGAACTACCCCCTCTGGTTCATTTTCGTCACCCAGCGCTCACTGCAGTGCCGAGGGCTCACCAGGCACTTGAAATTTGCTTAACCTTTTTCCCTAAGAGAGTAGGGTGTTCAGTAGTAAAAAGAGTAGTGGATTGGAAATGGGAAAAACTGGCTTTAGGCCGGTCCCTCGCCACCTCCTGACTAGCACAGTGCCTCTTCAAGAGTCCCCGCCTTAGCACAGGTTCTGCTTGCTCTTCCGGAAGATTTTAAAAGTGTAGTGGTACGTAAGAGGATACTGCCTGGACCCAAGCTCCTTGTGATGTGAGTCATCTCACTCTGCTCTTCAAAGTAGGGATTGTAATATCCCTGGACTTCACACGTTCTTGCGAGGACTAAATGAGATACTTCCTATGAAGGCTGCTGAACTAGATAAATGGTATCAGTTAACTTGTCCTTGCCTCTCTCCACACCTAAAAATGAAGATGACAATAAATCATAGGTTTACAGAGAGAACCAAGAGTTAGTGGGCGTGAAAGGGCCTTAGAAACTGAATTCCTATACAGGTGTGAGCTCTTAACAATCTAGATAGCAAAAGAAAACACATGAAGCAAGCAGAAAATAACCTCACAAAATGTTTTTCGAATGCAAAATAATCAGGTGGTGCAACTGAATAACTGTTGACAAGGCTCAGAAAAGGACATGCTAATCAAGGAAAACATCCTGGAAGATGCTGACTTCTATTCAGGTTTTAAGTGGAGTGAACTAAATATAGTTTATGGTTTCAGTCTAATCATTGATTTATCAAAGTGAGTCAAACCCACGTAGACCATTCTGCTGAGACTATCAAGATATTTTAGTTTTCCAGAACTAAAGGGGATGTTAATCTTGTTGCTTTAAAATCTGATTTGGATGCTTAGGAGGATCTATGGGTTGTTGTGTTTACCCAGCATGTAAAAAGGTGGATAGCTACTCTTATTTTCTTGTTACCACACAAACCTCTGTCCTTAATATTTGGTCTTTCCAGGGTGAACAACACTAAGCAAAATTATGAAGTACATATGTGGCAGTCTGACCCTGCCTGACCATTCAAGAGAGCCCCATCGTTCCCCAGCCCCCCAGGACTCTCCAGCTTGGCAACCAAATCAATGTTCTCCATATGTTCTCCTTCCTTATATGGAATATCTGTAGCTGTGTAGGCATGCAGAAGTACGAGAGTATATAAAACTACCCACCATGTTACAGTATGGGCTCGGCCTTTGGATGAGAACACACTGAGCTGGTGCCGGCATCAATAAATGCTGTTTCCTGCTTATAACCTCAGTGTCCCGTCTCTCTGTTCAAGAATCCTGCATCATTTTGGGGGGCTTGTCTAAGATTTGGAGATGGCAGTTTTTCACCTCCCTTGTCTTCAGGGTCTGGTCCCTGGAACGTTGGGAGAAGTGGACTTCACCTGGCATGCCAGCAGGCCAGGGTGGTGGCTCTGGGAGCACAACAGAACTCAGAGAGATGCAGGAACCAGCCCAGGAGCACCACCCAACTGAGTGGTAAGGACCCGGGTCCCAGGAATAGCTTGTCCGTTAGAGGACAGTAGGAGAGTCTGATCAACTCCCGAGGTCACCCGATTACATTTGTTGGAGGAAACAGTGACCTCTCAGGTACATAGGGTGGAGGGTGGAATATGTTTGGTGTGTGTGTGCGTGTGATTGAGACGTGGCCTTCTTATCCTCAGGTCTGTGGTGAACTTCATACAGCTTAGGGTGGTGTCACTGAATCTCTGTGAGGAGTCTACTCCAGTGCTCTGAGTCGGGGGTTTATACTGACCCACCAGTTGCTAAGAGGTGCCTAAAAAATTCCTGTGAGGGGAGCAGCCAGAGATGAGCAATGTGAATCTCTGAGTGCATGTGCGACATCGACCACGGGTGGAAGGACAGGTGGGACAACAGAGTAAACAGACACTTTTAGGTTGTATGTTTAAGAATCTCAAAAGGGTTATTCCGGAGACTGTGGAGTCAAACTCACCCCACAGAAACTTCGCACCTTTTGTGAGATCAACTGGCCTTCCTTTAGTGTTGGGTGGTCAGCAGAGGGATCTCTCAATATAGCAGTCATTACAGAGGTCTCTCTAGTCATTACCAGTCAACTTGGCCACCCAGACAAATTCCCTTATATTGATTCTTGGGAAGTGTTAGTTCGTACCTGACCCCCTTGATTGAGAGTCTGCCAAGAGAACTATAGGGTCCTCCTAGCCTGGGCCTTGGCACCTTCCTGAAGTCAGTTGAAGGGGAAGAAGCCTGTGTTGCCAACAGACCCAGAAGATGTCCCACCGCCTTACCCATTTATCCGCCCCTCCTGAAGGTCCCCGAACAGCCAACTTCTTCCAAGCCGTCCATCCCAGCCCCTTCGACTTCTCTTGGGACCCCATCCATGCCAGCCTCCATTGACTTGCCACCACCTCCTGTCTTGACCCCTACGGTTCCGCCGGACTCCAGCCCAAGGTGTCTCCAGTCACGGAGGAAGCGCTTCGGTTGCCCTCACAGGAAACCCCAGGTCCCATCTATTATAATCAGGACAGTCAAATTCAGGGAGGCCAGCACACCTTCATCTATCAACCCTTCACCACTACCAATCTCCTGAACTGGAAGAATCATACTCTCCTTCACTGAGAAGCCTCAGGTCATAATTGACCTCCTCCAATTGATTATCCAGATTCACAAACCCACTTGGGCCAATTGCTGACAACTCCTCCTGACCCTTTTTAACACTGAAGAGCACTGGCACATCACCCAGGCCGCCTTGAAATGTTAGAGGAACATGCTCCAGAATGAACCTTGAATGTGCAAACATACGCCCAGAATCAGTTTTCTGAGGAGGACTCCCAGTGGGACCCCAATGATGACAGGGAACTTCAGATGTTAGAACGATACCGGGAGGCTCTCCTAGGTGGTCTTAAGAAAGGCCATGAATATGAGCAAGACTTCAGAAGTCCAAGGACCAGAAGAGAGTCCAGGCCATTTCTTTGAGAGGCTTTGTGAGGCTTTCCGTCTCTACACCCCCTTTGACCCAGAAGCAACTGAGAATCAGAGGATGGTCAATGCGGCTTTTGTTGGGCAGGCCCAAGGAGACGTTTGGTGCAAACTGCAAAACCTGGAAGGCTTCGCTGGCATGAATATCAGCCAACTCCTTGAAGTCACAACCATGGTCTTCATCAGTTGCGACCAAGAACCCCACTGAGAGGCTGACTGAAAGATGAAGAAGAAAGTTGACTTACTTAGAGCTGCTCTGGTAGAGTGGTCAGTCCAGGCTCCCTAGAAAAAGTGCCCCACAAGGTTGGGGAAAAAAACCAGTGAGGAGGTCAACCAGGGAGACCCCCCACCATGAAAACAAGACTGGGACAAGACCAATGTACATACTACCAACAGCGGGGCTACTGGAAAAACGAGTGTCCCCAATGACCAGGTGGGCTATCAGTGGCTCCTGGTCCCCGAAGACACAGCCAAGTCATACAAGGGTGCTATCAGCTGACTCGCCCATCACCAGGTTATCCTAGGGACAACTTTGTTGGCCTTGCCACCCTGGAAGAATTTGGAGATGACTAAGCCAGACTGGGCTTTATTCTGCTGGGCCCCCAGGAGCCTATGGTCCAAATGACAGTTGGGGGCCGACCAACTGACTTTATAGTTGACATTGGAGCTGAACACTCAATTTTAACTTGGTTTGTGGTCCCCCTTTCTTAAAGACAAACTACCATTATGGGAGCCACCAGGGTATGAGTCTGTTGCCCCTTTCTGCAGCCTTGTTGGTGCAACCTAGGAGGACGAGAAGTCATCCACGAATTCCTATATCTGCCTGACTGCTCTGTGGCACTGATGAGATGAGACCTTTTAGGAAAACTACAGGCTCAGATTACCTTTGACTCATGTGGCCAAGCAGATCTTTGCTTGGGGGGGCCAGAAGCAAAGATCATGTCGATCATGGTTCCCCAAGGAGAAGAGTGGTGCCTCTGTAGTCTCGTAGGAGGGTCCCAACAGGAACCTGAGCTCCCTTCAAGGTGCCCAGAGTGTGGGCTGAAGACAGCACTCCAGGACTGGCCCAACACATTCCTCCAGTGGTGGTGGAGTTAAAACCTGGAGCTGAGCCAGCCCGCCAGAAACAGTGTTTCTTCCCCCATAAGGCACAAGTGGGGATCCAGAAACATTTAGAGAGACTTTTGAAGTATGGAATTCTGCGTCCCTGCCAATCATCCTGGAATATGCCTCTCCTGCCAGTTCAGAAGCCAGGGACCAGTGAATACCGGTAGGTCCAAGATTTACGAGCAGTTGACCTGCACCCTGTCGTCACCAATTCAGAATACTCTCTTAGGCCTCATCCTCACTGAGGCAACCTATTTCACCTGTCTGGACCTCAAGGTCCTTTCTTGTGCATCTCCCTGGCTTCTCAGAGTCAGCCAATCTTTGTCTTCCAATGGGAAAGCCCTGAAAGCGGAGACAGGGCCAGCTGACATGGACACGTCTGCCTCAGGGGTTCAAGATCTCCCCGACCATCTTTGGGACAGCTCTAGCCTTGGACTTAAAGGCTATTCCGGCAGACCAGCACAGCTTTACATTACTCCAGTATGTAGATGACCTCCTCTTAGCAAGAAAAACCTGTGGGGAATGCATGGAAGGAACACATCTACTCCTCAATCTCCTCTGGGAAGCGGGTTACAAGGTCTCTAAAAGGAAAGTTCAAATCTGCCAAGAAAGAGTTAAGTACCTCAGCTTCCACCTGTCATAGGGACAATGTCAACTTGGCCTGGAAAGGAAACAAACAGTCACCTCGATTCCCATCCCTACCACCTGGCGACAAGTCCGCGAATTCCTCGGAGCAGCTGGTTTCTGCAGAATCTGACTACCTAATTTCTCCATTCTGGCCAAACCCCTCTATGAAGCCACAAAGCAGGGAGAATGGGAGCCTCTGCTCTGGGAACCTACACAACAGAAGGCCTTTGATGAAATTGAACGGGTGCTCATTAACGCCCCCGGACTAGGACTCCCAGACTTAACCAAATCTTTCTTGCTGTACGTACATGAGTGCACAGATGTCACAGTAGGGGTCGTAACCCAACTGCTAGGATCTTAGTACCGTCTTGTGTCTTATCTCTTCAGACAGCTTGATTCTGTCACCCAGGGCTGGCCACCTTATCTGTGAGCACTCGCAGCAGCCACTTCTCTTGTGTCAGAAGCAGACAAGTTGACTCTAGGACAAGCAGTGACAATCCGGGTCCCCCATTCTGTCCTGGCCTTATTAAAATATAAAGGACGCTATGAGCTCACCAATGCCTGGATGGCCAAATACCAAGGAATGCTGTGTGAGAACCCCAAATCTGGGCACCTTACTGCCAGTGGGACCTGAACAACCAGATCCTGACTGTATTGAAGTCATAGACGAGGTTTTTTCTAGCCGCCAGACTTAACTGACCAACCCCTCAAAAGCCCTAATGTGGAATACCACACTGATGGCAGCAGCTTCGTCACAGGAAATAAGCATCTCACCGGGTATGAAGTAATAACCTTGCATTCTACTATTGAGACAAAGTCTTTGCCTCAAGGAACCTCAGCACAGAAGGCAAGAGTTCATCGCTTTGACCTACGCCCTTCAGCTGGCAGCAGGAGTGTGTGCAAACATATACACTGACTCTAAGTATGCCTTCACCACCCTCCATGCAAATGGAGCCCTATACAAAGAGATGGGTCTAATCAATTCAGGGGGGAAAGACATAAAATATAGAAAGGAAATTCTAGAACTCTTAGATGCTTTGTGGGCCCCCAAGCAGGTAGCAGTCATGCTCTGCAGGGGACACCAAAAGGGGGACGCCATAATGGCCTGGGGCAACTGCAGGGCAGACCACGTTGCCAAACTGGCAGCGGCCAAGGAGATGGCCAGCCCTACGACTCTTAACTGCTCCCATTTCCCAGTCCCTTAGCCAAATGGGACCCCAAGTACTCGCCTCAAGAAAAAGCTTGGTTTAAGACCGAGAGGGGAGCCTCCTCCCTGGTGGATGGTGGCAGTTCAAGGACAGGCAAATTGTAGTCCCTGGGACCCTAGCCCCAGCTTTTGTCATGCAGTTTTACCAAAGGTTCCTCTGCCCTAGAAACCACTCTGGGCCGGTACTTCTACATCCCCCAGCTCTCCAGCATCTTCCGAGCAGTGTGTGAACGATGCAAAGTCTGTATCCACAACAACCCCAGGCAAGGGCCATATGCCCCACCAGGAGTCCAAAGTGTCAGTGGCACCCGCTTTGAAGAACTCAAAGTAGACTTCAGTGAAATGCCTCGATCATGCGCCTCAAGTATCTCTTGCTCTTTGTGTGCTCCCATTCCAGTTGGGTAGTATTATCTCATCCAGACTGAGAAGGCCCGAGAAGTAGCCAGACCGTTTGTCTGAGAAATTGTTCCACGATTTGGCCTACCAATTACCATTGGCTCAGATAACAGGCCAGCCTTTGTAGCAGAAATAATGCAGCTACTAGCCAAAAATTTAAATATTAAATGGAAATTGCATACTGCCTATTGACTACAGAGTTTGGGACAGGTGGAACGCATGAACAGGACCCTTAAGACTCAGTTGAGAAAACTATGTCAGGAGACACATGTACACTGCGACGAAGTCCTCCCCATGGCACTATTAAGAATCAAGTTGGCCCCAACCAAGAAGACTGCGTTCTCCCCCTATGAGATCCTTTATGGGTGGCCACCACCACTCATAAAAGGACTACGAGGAGACCTCAAGGAAATCAGTGAATTGACTCTGAAACAACAGCTTCAGGCCCTAGGGACCACCTTCCAGACTCTCAACCAATGGCTTAGGGAAAGGCTCCCTGTCAGTTTAACCATTGAACTTCATCCCTTTAAGCCAGGAGACTCTTTCTGAGTAAAAGAGTGGAACATTCAACCCCTAAAACTCCTGTGGAGAGGCCCCTTTACCGTCATTGTGTCTACCCCCACTGCAGTTAAGGTTGCCGAAATAACGCCCAGGATACATCGCAGCAGACTTAAACCCGCAGCTGCAGAGTGAGAATGTGTTCCAGACTCCTCCTAGCCTCTTAAGGCAACCCTCGAGAAGAAAACACTGACTGCACCGACAAACCAAGGGTAAGACATTGGCCCTGCTTTGGTCACACCAGAAGCTGACCAATCTACACATGGCAGAAGCCTGAGGACATCTCATCAGGATGGCACCCCTAAAGACTCTTTTCTTTCTCCTCCTACTCTGCCACATGTGTGGCACCAGTCTCCCAACTTCTTCCCCTTGTACTCATTGCATGCAGAAGTATAGGTTAGGGTCCAACATTGCTACAGGCTTCACTTCCATAACCGGCCTACCTGAAGGGTGTGCCCTAAACGCCACGCTCTGCACTCATTGGGGATTCCAATATTGGATGGGTTACATAAAGATTAAATCTGAGAGTGGCCAATCCTGCCAAGAGCCTGAAAAATTAGGGGAAACTTGGTCATGTTGGCAATGGACCTCAAGTGGGAGAAAGATCCATAACCATGCAGAGGGTCCAGCAGTCGGAGAAATTGTCCGGTGGCTACATAGTCCAACCGCACCTAAGCCTACACCATCTCCAAGGCCCCAAAGCCCACAAATGTATGATCAACTAAAGGCCACCTTAGGCCAAAACTTAGACCTCCTTTATAGAGACTATAGTAGAAAGGAAAACTACAACAAAAGCCCTCGTGCTATGGAAGTACCAGCCCCTAAACCAAGAACTGGAAGAAAGAGATGATGCTCTCTAACCCAGTCCTGGGTCCAAGCATCAAAGTGGGGAATGTGGCGATCTGATCCTGCCTGACCATTTCTTGCTCGAACAAATTAGTTCCTGATCACTGCCCCCCACCCCGCCCCCGCCATGACTCTCTGGTTTGGCAACCAATCAATGTTCTCTTTCCTTATATGAACTATCTGTAGCTGTGTAGGCATGTGGAAGTACGAGACTGTATAAAACTACCTGCCATGTTACCATCGGGGCTCAGCCTTTGGATGAGAATCCACTGAGCCGGTTCCAGCATCAATAAAGGCTGCTTCCTGCTTATAGCCTTGGTGTTCCGTCTCTCTCTTCAAGAATCCCACAACACACAATTACATTGTTCCTTCTTCCCCTTGCACTTCTTTCTCACTGCAAGAGAATCTAATCATTTATTAAGTGTAAATGACTGATAAAACTGTGGCCACTCCTGGAAGATTTTGCATTTTTATAGTTCTTAAAGCCATAATCCACAATAGTGGTTGAAACCATCTCATAAAACAACAAAGATGTAGGGGAGCTTTTGGGAGAGATTGTGAGGTCACCAGAACCTTCAGAAACTACAGGTATAGGTAATCATGTATTTTGTGTAAGTCTGACACTGGTCATTTCTAACTGTCTCAATTTTTCTTACCTATCAAAAGTGAAAATAAATAATATCCTGATGGAATGGCTTCTGCAGAGGAATGCTATCTTTATTTGGGGTACTTTGGTACAGCAGAAGGAGCCTCAAGGAAGTCAGGCCCTATTCATTTTATAGATTGAATCTGCTCAGCTCTCGATTCCCAGTTGGAAATCCCAATCTTAGAATATTAAAATTAAATTTTAATATTTTATTCTTTCTATTAAAAATCATGCTTATTTTAAAAATGCAAGGAATATAGAAAATTACCAAGAAGAAAGACAGAAATCACCCAAAGCCCACAACCTAATAGAAGCCATCCTTAAAATTTGGTGCACGTGATTCCAGAAACTTCTCTGCACATGTAATAAAAACTTTCTGGATGTTATTTTTGAAAAATTATATCATATCTTAATGAGTCCTTAGTGCCTTCAGGCAATAACTTTCTTTTAATAGAACAAATTCTTAATACGACCTATATGAATTATTCAGTCGCTTAAATGGCTGATGCATTTTGCATTATTGAAAAACTAGAGAAATTAGATGGGGTAGTTCAAAAACTAAGGGCCAGAAAGAAGCAAGCTGGAAACCAGAAACATGAAAGCAAGAAATAAATTATAGGCTGATAGTACATTGAGTACATTGAAATTGAAAGGGAAGACAACCCAACTTAACCATCACATGAATCTGCCTCCTGGCATGTGCACAATAACATTTTCATTTTTGAGTTGTCATCCACTCTTCTCAGTGTTTCTGTGTGAACTCATTTAAATGACAAAACACTTGGTGTAAGATCCATACATTTTCCTATGTTTCGCCTTGTTTTTATGAATGTATTGCATTATTCTGGCATTATGAAATGAGCTAGACAGTTAACTGCTTTATATAGATTACCACCCAAAACAAACTATTTTGCTTTTCTATCCTCACTTTCTTATTCTTTAACTTTCCTGACATAATTACCTGGACTATTCTTGGTTTTCCTTTCTCTGCCCCAATATCCTTTTAAATCTTTTCTATGATATAATAATAATAATATTTATTTGATACAAATTGTTAGTATGAAAAAGTTAATTTCTCCTAACAATCCAAGTACTATTTCCACATATTCATATGAGGAAACTGAGTCATAGAGAAGTTAATTTACCTAAGGGCCCACAGCTAGTGAAGAGCAGACCCAGGAATCAAAGAACTTTTTTGTGACTCTAGGGTCTAAGTTTTCCCTGATACCTAGTCGTCGGCCTGGTGCTATCAGCTAGTTATTGGTGTTCCTAGGAGTTGGCCTGGCACAGCTAGACTTTGTTGTCCCCCATTGAACATAAACAGTTTCAGAGAACATCAGAAAAGGTCACTCCATGACCATGATAGATCAGAACAAAAATAAGACTACCCATAATCGTGTTCGAACAGAAAAGCATGAACCTTATCCAAGCCTCCAAATGGAATACACAACTGAAAATATCAAACTAATATGAGTGGCTGTTACTTCTTTACCAGTTAGAGCTTTAGCCTCATTCTAGTCTTCCCTTTTTCTACATACCCAGTCATAGAATTACCCGTGCTTCCTGATAGCATCTAATTTAGAGCAAAGTACCCCAAATCACCTAACACAAACCTGAATCTTAATGTAAGTTCTTTCTAACTCTCTCTTACTGAGATGTCTCATGGTTCCCCATAGTGGGTGTTCTCCCTGGCTGCAATGAGTATAAAAGCTCAACTTGTTCAACCACAACTACTGTCGTCTTTGTTTTCCTGGAGTTTATTGACTTTGGGACTCTGCCAAGGTAACTTTTTCCTAAAGAAGTAAAACTTTTGGGTCAGGTATTTCATACCTGGTATGTCTTTGGGGTCAACCAGTTGCACTTTTAGATCTTTTATAAAGTCATTAATTCGCATATTCCTAGTTGGGCACTCCACATCACCAGACTTCCCTAGCATGTCTTCCTCCTGCTCATCCATAGTGAATTGTAAAGAACAAACTCCATCTGACTTATCCCTGATTCATTCACCCTGAGTTCAAATTCCTCTTTGGCATTTGTCAGTTTCATTTCCAGCTCTGAATTCTCTCTGTCTCCTAACTTGGACTTGGGACAGTCTGTAATTGTTGAAGATTCTCTCTTATTCCTTCTGTCATTTGCTCTTCTTTTCTTTCAGCCATTAAAGGTCTGACTGACTCATCTCTCCCTATGACTTAGAATTTTCTCTAGTCCAATGTAATCTGCATTTTTCACATTCCCTTCTTTAACCCCTCCCTGTTTAGAAGAGACAGTGTAGGCTACAGTGTGTACACTGAAGGTGATGTTCTCTTCCCAATAGTTCTAAAAAGGAGGTACTTCAATTAGGAAAGGTAAAGAACCAATTTTAATAAAATTCATCATTGAGTTGAAATAGCATGGGTGCTTTAATAGACTACTGCTATGTTGTGATCATAGGATGCATTTTATAGTAGGAAATTGGTTTATCGAAAGGGATTATTTTGTTGTAAGAAATAGAAACCCTTTTTGAGCTGGAGTCAAAAAGGAGGTGGAATTGAGAAGATGGTTGTATAGACACCTCATGCAAGACAAGGGCACTAAGTGCAACCAGACCTCGTAAAGATCTATAACCATGAACTGGTAGACTCTATGATCAAGGAAGCTGCCCTCTGCTTTTCTCACTCTCACCCCTAGCTTCTCTTTTGAGAATTCGCTCATTCCCACTTTCACTATCTTTCCATATCCCTTAGCAGATCAGCTTCAAACCAGCTTTCCTACTAGAATCATTCCCAAGTCTATGTGATGGGGAAAAAAAACCTAAGTACTCTAGAGGGTAGAAATCAGTTTGAATCTGATTTCTACCCTCTAGAGTAGAGTACAGTCTGAATCTGCTACACTCCCTGCTCTTCTATGGTCTATTTGGCTTTGCCTGGTTTCTCTCAGTAGTCTCCCTCATTACTTGAGGGAACTTTAGCCTTTATTTTTTGTAGTCATGAGAATTTAACAAAAAAATTGAGCATTTGTTATACACCAGCCATATATCTAGCACTAGAAGATAGATAACATATATCTTATCCTTGAGGAGTTTACACTGTTGATAAGGGCAAGATATATGCACATTAAGCATTTGTAAATCATTCAGTAATACAAATAAATGCCCCAATAAGTGGTCAGAAAAAGAGGACTGCATAAATGTAGAAAAGATAGATAAGGATGTGAGTTGCAAAGAGCTTCTGGGACACAGAGCGGGGAGGAAGTTATCCTTTAATAAATATTAAGTGCCTGCTTTTATAAGGACTTGAGCTGGATACTTAAACATAGACAGAGTGGAATGATTACTGTTGTCCACCCACATCTAGTATAGGTGTTAGACCCATGCAGGGGATAAGTAATAAACCTAAAGTACTTCACCTCGGGCAAAGCACCCAAAATGGTAGCAGAGCTCAACTGGCATATGTATTTTCAATGACAAAGAATTAAATGGAGATTGGCGAAGATGGGCAAGGTGGAGCTTTAAAAAAATTCAGAGTGGAGAGCAGCCCAAAGTTGAACCATAGGGTCTTTATTGTCACCTATAGTAATCGAGTATGTGTACCATGAGATGGGAGACTTACTGAGTTAGGGTTTCCTATGTGACCCTAGAACACAATATGGTTTGCCTGGGATTTGTGTGAACTACACTCCTGTGTGTGGGAACAATTGCCCACCTATGGTTAGGCATATGCTATATGCATTCTGAGGGGTATAGTTCCTCTTTTATAGGTGAAGAAAAAGCCTGAGAGCATCTTGAATCATGTCCTCTGTAATCAGTGTAAATAGATTTCTCCTAAGTGAAACACTGATATCTAACAATCTGCTAAGACAAATGAGTTCTAAGAGGGGAAAATCTGCTTTAGGACATCTTTTGAAATCTGTCCTTTGTACTCACATTGAATGTGAGGGAAATAGCCACAAATCCTTCACCAGTGTGGCAGAACTAACATTAATCTCTCTCTAGATCTAAAACTGCCACACTAAAATTTATCAGTGACTGCTTGACCTACTTTCCTTCATTGCTTCGAGGGCCCATCCTTACATGGAGTCTAATTTATTTGCCAAGAGATTAATTAGCTTTTCAGAGCCTCTGTGCTAGTTAATAGTCCCAAAATAGACCACTAGTCCCAATGCCCATTGCTTCTTCGGAGGACAGATTATAGGAATGACAAAATTTGAGCAAGATATATTTGTTAGTGCCCTTATGCTTATGAAAGTTATGACCTACAACCTTCTTGGTCTTTGGCGGGTTGCCTTAACTATGTCTCTCTCGCATTCCCTCAAATTCCTGGAGAACTGAGTAGATTAAATGTGAGTTTCAAGGTGATGTGACTAGGCAGTATGATGTGAATCAAAGTCCAGATGCTGTAATCAGACTTGGGCTTTAATCATGATTCTATTACTTTGGTCGGTTTATTTGTCTGGGCTTCTTTTCCCTGATCTCTAAAATGTGAGCCAGTAATAGTTCTCATCTCCTAAAATTGTGGTGATGATCAAGTAACATAATGCATTAAACTGCTCACCCACAGAGTAGATACTCACTACATGGTAACTATTTGTATTGTGATAGACAATTAAAGACACATCTTCTCCCTTTAAGCTGTTGATGCCTGGAAATAAATCGGACCTGCTGGGGCTCTCGGCTTCATACTTCATAGGG